GACAATACTACGATATGTCAAAAACAAATTGTATTATTTATAAAATCATGAAAGAAGTTAATGAAAAAAATGTTCTTTGCATTGCTTCCACTTACATAACTGATCTATCATGACCTTTCAACAGTGATTACAATGGTTACAAGTTCATTTATTCTCTGTTTTTCCGCCAGGTCAAGATATGTAGATGCAGCATCCGATGACGATCGCATGTTGAACAACAATCACCGTCCAATGCGTTTATTACCGTTGTTATATATAAACATGCAGTCATCTCCTATAAATCGGACAACATTTTCTTCTTGATATTGGAAATATTACTGCCGATTAAATGTCCGTTCTGTATTGGCCCGCTAGTTTTCTGAATGTACTAGCACTAAATAGAGTTTGGTTACGGTTTCAAAAGGTCTTCACGAAATGGACGAAGTTTCTATTCAAAGAACAAATGCTCTCATCTACAGATTTCATTTGTACTACGGAACAACTATCACTAACCGATGATCAATCCGAACACGTAACTCAATTCGAAGATCTGCCAGATGAACTTTTGCTTGCTATTTGTCGCTATCTAAGTCCACCACATGTACTCAATGCTTTTCTCGATTGTAATAATCGTATGTTTTATTGCATATCCAATTATCACACACACATTAATTTGACAAACTGGTCTTACACTGACTTACAATCGATTCGAGGTTTGATCAACAGCAAACGTCTTGTGCCATCTGTATTGACACTCAGCAATTCGATGTTTTCGAAACAAATCGAATATTTATCCTCTACAAATTCTTCATTGAAATTATCATGTTTTGAACATGTCCATCAACTTTCTATACTCGACTGCACACAGTTCAACATATTGTCGTTACATCGAACTATTGCTAATTTTTCTCGGTTGCATTCATTGCGCATCATTGATTGTGCCTCAAATGACTACAGGTTACATGTCCATTTATGCAGGAATTGTCTCCGCGATTTGATTTTTGATTCAACATGCAATACATACCTGACCACAATTGAACTGATGGTTAACATTGATATCATTCTAAATAAACAAATTGTTCCAAACGAGCGTCTCACAGATTTGACTCTTTCGCTGAAGACAGTCGATGATCTGTTAGTTCTCCTTGATGGTCTTGCACCTAATTTGATCGTACTGAATGTCACTTTATATGATGCTCGTACCTCTACTCGATTACTGTTACCATCTGGATGGCCTCGTCGATCAATGTCTCATTTGACTGAATTTCGATTAACGACAAAAGAAAAGGCGGAATGGAAACTTGAATATCTACATGGTATTGTTATGGTTCTTGATCAGCTCGACACTTTTTCATTGGTTGTGGAAAATTGGATTGGTGATGATGACAATCAGTTTCCCTCAGGCAATCAAATCGAAATAATCATCAATGAATATCTTCCTCATCTTCATCACTTCTATTGCGATATTCAGACGACGTGTGATATTAATATGGAGGTAAGATTCATTTATCCAATATATTTTTCATAGAATTTTGTTGTCTTTTAAGACTTTTGTCGGATTCAATCGTCGTTGGCCTATGACATACAAAATAGATTCTAGAAGTTCAAGTCGATACTTATACACAGTTCCACGCCAATCCAAACCGTGGAATACATCGAGATTAGGCAACAATGATATAGCCCGTATGTATTCAGTACTGCTTACTCTCATTCCTGACACGTACCATGCTAATCTATCTGAATATATTTCCGATATCAACACATTTCTGCTTCAATCAAGAGATTTTCGTCGACTTCGTACACTGACAACGATGAATATTGAAGTACTTTCGTGCTTGACACAACGTATTCATACAGTCAAATTGGTAGGAACAAGCGACGTTTTGATTTTTTCGAACATTTATCGCAATGTGAATCACTTAGTTATTACAAATACTAAGATGGATTCTTTGGCGGTAGTTATAAACCTTGTTGAATCTTTTCCAAATCTTCGCTCGCTCAACGTTCAGTTTCGAATGAACAACGATTATTTTGATAGTCTTGACGTGATTCTCAACGGTCAACATTTGCCACACCTTACCGTGTTCACAAGCAACTGGATCGATGAAAACTGGGGTTATTCGATCAGAGTCAATGAATGGTTGTTAGAGAAGACCATAATGAAATGGCGGTCGATTCCATTCTACGTAAATTTGGCATCTCATAACCAGTGGACTGTCTGGCTCTGATTAATATGATTCTAGTATGTAAACTCTAACTATCAAAATTAATAAAATCAATCATCCATATAGAAATTATTGTCGAGTTAATCTTTTAATGGGCGAATTTTGGATCGTCAAGTTCTGTCGATCTTGATGATGCAGTCAGGTAGATCGTGATCTAGATTCCCATGCATGAGAGTTAGATTGACAAAACTGGAGTAGTGAGCGTGTATCTGGATACAATACAAAAAATTGCTAAATAAGAATATGAGTAAATTGATAGAAAGTATCTTTAAAAAGATGATTCAAAGGAAGAATATGATAATTCTCATTCCTTGTCAGAGAAATAAAGGTCGAACAATAATAAATCATTAGCATTGTATGTCAAATAGAATTAGAACAAAAAATACATTTGTCTGTTTTGTGATTGAATCTACATAGAAGAAACTAAGAATTGGTGTATGCGACTGGCTAATTGAAAGAAGAAATTCGTAAGTTTATTTAATGTTAGTTGAAAAAAAAAGGGAGAAGAAACGTATAAAGAACAATGTTTGAAAGGCAATTGAGATTTGATTTTCTTTTTTTTTTTGAATATTTTATAGATTAATTCTATTGACTTTTTATTCGTATAAATAACAAATGAATGATTTTGTTAATGGTTTGGTAACTCGATTTGGTGGTTTGACGTGTTCAATATGAGATATTGATGGTATTATTACTGTTTGTTGTTGTTCAGAATAAGAATTTGTTACTGTTACAAAAAACCATTGTCATCATCAATCGTTTTGACTATTTTATTTTGAATCAGTTTTATACTGATAAAATCAATATCTTTTCACTTATATTAATTGATTCTGTTTAATTAAAATACTCAATAAAAAAAGAAAAAAGAACAAAAATTCGAATCTAATCTATGAAGCTCTTGAGGGTGGGGTTGGGTGTGGGGGTGTGGGTGTGGTTGTGGTTGTGAAACTTATACCAACACCCATACCCACACCCACACACACCCACTTATGAAATTATCGTTATGCAGGCGTGCCAGAGAGATTTTTTTATCAAATATGCAATTTAATGTACTCTTTCTGATAAGACTATTTTCAGAGAAATATTCACTGTTTGGGCAGTTACTTTGCTCTCAAGACCATGTTTTTCTATGAGATATTACAATATAGGTATGGGCTGGATGAAGAATGTTGAAAATAGTCTCATTAGAAAGAGTTCATTGAGTTACCTTTGTGCTGTAAAAATCCCATTGATTCGTTCATGTAAACTGTAGTTTTGATAGAACTAAAAAAACACTGCTTATGACCATAGGATCTATCAGAGGCAGTATTCGTTAATTATCGATTAAAAAAATTATTATCTCTGAAACCTTCTTATATATTCTGATAGAGAAAAAAAAATTCTGCATCGAATGAGACTGTTTTCAAATGAATTTTATTCGGATATTAATGGCCCTATGAACCTAAAACTAATTTTTCAGCCATATAAAAACACCAAAGATCTTTCTTATTATTCAGCTACTATTGGAAAAAAGTGATATTTTCGTGACCAGCACCTTTAGCTCTATCGATCTGCATGGTCAACAAATAGAAGGAAGACAAAAAGTTTTTCGAATACCTGTGGGGACATCAGGTACCGAAAAAATCGAGATCACAAAGTGCAAAATAAAGCTGTAGAAAATGATCAGGATCTATTGAGTAATAGAATAGAAATCTTTTCTTGTAATAATCAAAGGAATTCACCTATTTTTCATAGGACCGCTGTGATTAAGAAACAAAATGGCTGGATGACGTTATTAGGTGGCTTTTTTTTTTAATCGCTGTTAAGTGGCTTCTTTTTAAATTATGTATCTCAATACGTTCAAATTGATTTCTCATGAACCTTTTGATTATGGTAGAACCCTACATGATCTTTAAAACTGCCAAGGACACCATTGGTACTTTTCCGAATACGAAATCAAACGCTGTGAGACAGTATTTTACCGACGTTATTAAGGAAGTTGACGGTACAAGAAAACATTGTCAATTGATTATTTCGATCGTATTTCAGACGTATACTAGAGTTGTCTTTTATTCCATTTCATTGATCGTCAATTCAAACCTATCACTATGCTATATCGCGCCCTCACAATGTCCGTCAGATGTTCAAATCTATCGTTACTTCTCATTTCTGCTTGCTAGTCATAGCCAATCAGAGTGAGATCAATATATAGACCGAAGTAGACATTATAGCGTTTAAGACAATCATTCATGACGAACATTAAAAAAATATTTTTGGACTAATCTAACGGATAATGCCGAAATTTCAGCCTAGTCATATCGTTCTATTTCTATATAATCGATTTGTTCATTGATCTGTAGCAGTTAGAATAAAACAAAGTGACTGTTCTATTCAAAATCGAAGCAAAATAATCAAACTATATTTCTCATCTACATCTATTTTATGTGAAACATTATCTTCTGCTTTAAACATGATGAATTTTGAATTCTTACCCAACGAAATCTTACTTGATATATTCGAGTATCTTAATGGTATAGATCTTCTTCGTGCATTTTATGGTCATAATTCTCACTTCAATCTACTTCTTTACAATCAATTTCAATCATATCGATTTGATTTACTTTCTTGTTCAAAACATCAATTCGATATTATATGTAAACAACATTTACCATTTATTTCTAATCGAGTTACTACTCTTACTCTTTCTGACAACGAAGATACTCCAGGACAAATAAATCAACTTTTTTCTTACATATCATCATTTCGTCAATTCATTCATTTGCGATCACTATCAATATTACACATTCCTTCATATTACACATTGGTAAAAATTGCTGATGAATTACATTATCTTTCTAATCTCACTCGTTTAAAATTGAACATTTGTCCTTTTGGAAATAATCAAGTGAATCTTCAATTAGTTGTTAACAGTATTTGGAGTTTACCAAAACTTACCTATTGTTATTATAGTGTTCGAATCGATCTAAAACAAACTTTTACTCTACCTACAAAATTGTCAACATCTCTCAAAGCTGTAGATATAAGTGCACAAATGCTTAAATGGAATCAAATATATTCTTTATTTGAATGTACACCTCATCTAGAATATCTTGATATTTTTATTACTCCTTTCGACAATAATCATTATCAATCATCTCCTATTCCAACATTAATCAAATTGAACATAGCTTGTTATCGTATGTCTGATACATCAAAAATGATTTCATTCTTGAAAAATGTACCCAATTTACGTCATTTGAAGATCACTATGGTATTTAATCTAATCAATGGTTATCAATGGGAACAAATCATTCGTAATTATTTGCCGAAACTTAAAATATTTAACTTGAACATGTATGATCAATTTCCAGACGATCAAAATATTGAAGAACGAGCTAATGAATTAATTAATTCTTTTCAAAGTTCATTTTGGATTAATGAATATAAATGGTTTGTTCGATGTTTTATATGTGATAAAATTATTCGTCTTGAAACTTCATCTGTAATATTTTATCATTTCGAAAAAAAATTTCCTAATTGGTGGAAATCTACTTTTTCACATGACAATCATCTGAAATTTTATCATTGTATGACCAGCATCGATGATAACATAGTTTTTGATCAATCATTTCTATTTGATATTTTTCTGCAAAATATGTATTCTGTTTGCATAACATTTCCTATTAATAATCAATTTTGGTCCATTGTTCCAAGTTTAAAGACACTGCGTTCACTTAGAATATTATCTTATACTGATACTTATCAATCTCAATTACAAGCTTTACTTGATCGTGCACCGTATCTTTATCGTCTAGATATTAGACAAGAACTATCATTACCATTACAAATTTCATTATTCAAATATAATAATGCATCAGTTCGTCAACTTTATTTACAGAAATATAATTATCAATTCAATGAAAAGGAATGTGATACATTAACTCATTCATCATTGGGTGTTCAATGTGAAATACTTTCCATTAAAGTTAAAAATCGCAAAAGTATTATTATTCTTGTTAAAAATATGATCAATCTTCGAGCATTACATATTCAATGTGAAGATGATGAATATTCTAAATATTTGTCATTAATAGAAAATGTTAATGAATCTCATCAAACAAATAAAACAAACAAAGACAAGTTAATTCAATGGTTAAAAGATAATTTATCATCAACATATTTGATTTCGAGAGATCCAAAATCTATCAATTGTATTCGACTATGGATTCGATAATGACAACAATAATAACTGTTTATCTTGAATAATTTGTTGAACTATGATCATACTCTTACTATTGGAAATATTTGTATTTATAAAAATAAAGTATAATACGTGATAAAATTTATTTTACAAATAATATCTATGCAAAGCTGATGAGCTATTCATAATATGATGATTGATCTAGGCTGGTAAAATTTCAGTTGCAATCGCTGACGTAACCTACTAACTCCAGTAGGCAGTGAGTGACGAAGTAGATGAATCTGAAGATCAGAAGAGAGAAGATCCCTTCCGGTAATTTATATTCGTTATCACGGTCTGTGCGAGGAGAGGGGGAGCGAGTAAGGTCCAAAATTTCTCGCTATACACTTAAACACTTCTTGTCAATCGTGTTTCACAAAACTGAGCCGTCGGTTCACCGGTGTGGGTGTGGGTGCGAGTGGGGTGTGGGTGTGGGTCCTCTCTTCATCCACACCCACACCCGACCCACACCCCTGGATTTCTCTTTCTCTCTCAGAACGGGCCATAATCAATATGCGCAAAAGAAATTTTTTAAGAAAGTCGCGAAAAACTTAGTGTTCAAAGTCGCTTGTAGTCAGAGAAAGCAGTTGGTAAGTAGTTAAAATTTAAGGTTGTTCTCCACATAATGATGCACTATAAATAAGCATCACTGATAAAATTAATATCAACTAACGAGTAGGACAAAAGATTTTCATTGATTTTGTTTTTGATGCATCTCGCTCCAACGAGGTTTCATAGAAATTTCTCATCTTGTTCCTTCGTTAGGAAGAGCAAAAATATACAAATGATTAATAGAAGCATTAGAATAGAAAACATTGCAAAAACAACTCGACAACTTTGTATAGATAGATGCATATTCAAAGGAAGACCTTGACATGATATTAAAATAGTTAATCTAACATAGAAGTGAAATGAAAAGAAAAGTGTAGGATGAAAAAATAATCTATGTCGTAGATTTATGGTTTCCAATCCGGTTGTAAATAAGAGGAATCGTTTAATAGTTCTTTCTATTCAAAAGTTTCGATAACTTTTATCAAATATTTGTATATTTTTGCGTTAGATCTTCTAAGAAAAAACATGATACAATCTCTACAAAAGTCGATTGCAGCACTAGATTAAAAGCAAAATTAATACAGGACTTTTGCTTCATCTATTTTGATGATTTTAAGAAATAAATCTAATTTAGCATACCCAAAAAATTTGATCAAATAATTTATTTGATGCAAAATCCTTTCTGTCTCGTGTATTTATTTTGAATGAAACCTAATTGTTTCTGTGAAATATATGAATATTATCCATTAACATTTCTCCTACAGATGGTCAGATGATATTAAAGAATAACATTTGGTTTAGGAATAGAGAAACTTTGAAACCTTTTTATTCAAAAGAAAAAGCAATTCATCAATCTCTTATCTTTGTCAAATAATGTTTGTTGTCATAGAATCACAAGAATATAAATGAGTAGGATTCAACTTTAATCATACTTTGAAAACATAAGACAACAGTCAATTCTTAATTATTAAACAAGATACTATTGTGTACTCTTCCAAAATATCTTGACTAGCAAAATTTTTAACATGATCAGATCCATTAAAGTCTACGTAAGAACACTTGACAATGATCGTGATAATAAACTTCTATTATATTCCTTCCCTCTTCGTAAAGAAGAAAAAGATCTTTAAATAAAAGAATCAGCAAATACCTCCCAAAATGTATCATTTCACTCGAATAATTCGCTATTCATAACGGACCACATTATAACGCTGGTCGTTCGAGTATAGACACATTTTTTTCTGCAATTGATTCTTTATCATACTTTAGAAGATCTATATATTTCGTTTTCGAATAAAAAATGTCATCCACAAATTTATTATTGATTAACACATTACTCAATATTCAACGACAAATCATTCGATATGTCTATTCAACTTACCTGGTTTTAGGTCTGACTTATTTTTTTCTCAATATTATGTTATTTTCTCGACGAAAATTCCGTACAGTGTCCTGTCGTACATGTAAGTACTTGTTTTTCAATCGTAGAAAATCAAATCATTAAAATCTATGAAGTAAGATATTTTGTCATATCTGAATGAATATCGGCGACATTGAAGAAAATAAATCCCAAAAAAAAAGGTTTTATGTGCTACGCATCCAAAAATGATTTGTTCACTCGTGTAAAACCATTTTGTGTTCTACTATATGTTTGGAAAAGTCTTTAAGAGAGTCATAATATAGATCATAATGTAGCTTCGTTTTTCAGAAGGACGACCATTGTGAGTATAAATATAAACTATTTAATTGCAATACTAAATTCGAATTCTCTCTGTTGATTTATGGAGATTAGAAAAGTAATGATCGCAAGCAATGATGAACATGAGAAGACTGCTCAATGAAAAGTATTTGAGAAAGTAAACAAGCGATGTAATTTTATCTCGCACACATTGTCTGCATTCAACGTAAGTTATTCATTAATCATAGCATCAATAATTGTTGAACGAAAAACAATTTTCGAATTTCGACAGGTTTTTTTTTTCATGCCATTGAGTTTTTATTCATTATTAATTAAGAACTCTCTATTGTATTCGATCATTTCTGAATATGAGCAAATCATTGTATTGCTGTTCAGTTTCGATCAGTCGAAATATATTCATATGACATTGAAAAAGTTATATATATATATATATATATATTCAATATAACCGATTTTTTTTCTAATCGTATTTATTTTGTTTTTACCAGAATATCAGAGATATTCTAAACAGCATATCGTTTCGAAAACAAAATCTTTTTCAAACATTCTTCAAAATTTACATTTCGACTCAAATCTAGTTTTTTAGATCAAGACACATAAACGAAAGCAAAAGATTTTATGAATAACAATAATTAATCAGGCAAATAATTTTTTAAGTACTAAAACATAAAATTATATACACTATTTATAAAATAAACTAGAAAACAAAGAAAATGATAATAATATATAAATTAATAGCAATAGAACACATTATGATCTACACTAGAGCTCTCTTATTGATTTCGTTCAAATATATAGCAGCATATAAAGTGAAGGTGCCGAGCTGGATGAATTAATTTTGATCGACTGTTTATATGGTCTGTCTTTTTGAATAGATTTTTTAGTTGGCAGCCTAGCATGGATATTTATTTTGTCGTGGGCAACTTCAATCAATCTATATACACTCGATCATGTGGATCCAACTCTATCGTCGATAGTCTTGTGCAAGTTACGCCTCTATTTTCCTCAATGCTTCGCTATGATCTTTCGTTGGTGCCTTGTTGCCGCTTGTTTTGATCGGTATGCGCTCTCATCAACTAATGCATATCTTCGAAGTTTTGCTACCCTACGTATCGCACGTCGTTTTGTAGCAGGAATCGTGCCTCTATGGTTTGTAATCCCTATACACATCATTATCTTCTATGATTTGAAACCAGGTCTGTGCAGTATTTCGTTCAGCATGGTTGCAGCATTCTATCATAGCACTTTTACCACCTTGTTTGGTGGCATTCTTCCGCCTTTATGTATGTTTATTTTTTCCATATTAATCTATCGTAATATACGTGCGAAAACACAACGTCGTCACACTATGATCAGAATTCAAAATATGGAAACATGCGCAGCTAGACGATTGGAATGCCATAGCAATCAACAATTTCTAATTATGTTATTTGGTCAAGTATTTGTTTATGTCATTGTAACAGCACCTTTGATGAGTTTTTACTTTTATAATGCAGCCACACTCAAAATTTTGAATAAATCATCGGAACGTCTGGTCATTGAAAAGCTTTCTAGTTTTTTAGCCGAAATAATTCTTTTATCACATTTGATTTGTTCATTCTTCTTGAATACATTAACATCGAGTACATTTCGCCGAGAACTGCTACAAATGCTCATGGAATTGTTTAGTTTGAAAAGATGCATTAAGAATCGTCGCATCGAATCAATGAGGGACGACATTCAACTGGATCCGAATAAGATACAACCGGTCGGTATAGCATCAAATGTTCATAAAACTGTACCTATTGGGGAGCTGTTAGATGATACAAGAAAATAGATCAATTCTAACAAACTTCAGACTCGACTACAATAAAAAAAAGGACATAATTCTACTCGTTCATATTTGTTCTTATTAATTCTCAATAGCAATAAACTGTTTGATATGAGAAGTTTTTGATACGTATAGCTTCAAACAGACCAGATGGTTAACGATTAATTATTATCAATATGTCTCATGTCTAGAAAAAGTATTTGACTTAAATGTGAAATATTTACAACTTTCATTTATGTTTTTGTCTTTGTTCATCAATCTTTGTTGTATTGTGTAGTTCTACTCTTATTGTTGTTATCATATAATAGTTTTATGTCTTGTTTTTTATTTTAAGTCTTATTTCAATATAAAATCTTACTATTAATATGTTTTTCATTTCCTACAGTTACTATTTCTCTTTAAAGCTTGAATTATATACATAAGTTGAACTTAATCTATTGAGTATTCCGAATTATGCATTATACTTTATGAATTCATTGTAGTAATATATTAAGTGAACAACAGATGATTATTACTCGAATATCCGGTAGTATTTCTAGTGTAACGTCAAGCGTAGTGGCGTCTGGGATAAATAAATATTCAATGACATCACGTGGCATCTTATTCATTACATATGTATAATAAAAAGTATCTTAATAAATATTGATATGAAGTCAAATCATGTATGAAATCATGTTGATTTCATCAATATGCATATGATTATTAGTTATCATATACACGGTTGACTTTCGTATCTATTTTGAAAAGTTCTTTATCGAAAAATAATCTAAGAATTATATGAAAATATAAAGTTCACTAAGTAATGAATAATTCATGAAAAAACACATCCGTTAGCTTTTTCTGTTATTTTCTACAGTCTGCTAAATTACGTATGACATATGGTTACTTTTAATATAAACTTTTGAACATTTCTGGAATAGTTGCTGTGATAGATCAATACACTCTCTCCAATGATAATAAATGCGGAAACTTCGGATTTAAATCCGAGAGTTATGTGTCCTTCAAAAAGTGAATGAGACAGATGAGTCGTTCTAGAACGTGTGGACATAAAAATTATACTGGGGAACCTACCCTCTAAACTGTTGATTTCTATTGAGTATTGCCAAACCAATAGGACTTGGGACCGAATACAGCTCAAATTTGAACTCTTCCCCTTGATTTACCCTAAGAAAGTCGTTTTTCCTATAGCTTCATTTCTATTGGTCACTGCTCAACCAATAGTATTTCGATGGAAGTGGAATACAGATTCGAGTTCTCCATCTCAGAAAACCTCGAAGTATCATCACTGTGATTGGAAGATAGAGCTCTATTTGTGGATCAATTAGATCGTGGACAAAAATATAACCTAGTTCTCTTTAATTATCTTTGTGATAGATGAGCCACCCTTCTTGTTTCTTTATGTTTTATATACCACTTTGTAGGTCGTGAAATTCTCTATCGAATAGTATATAATAGTTGGGGTTTTAGTTGACTATGATAGGAAAAGTCTTTTACGCAAGTGGGGATGGGTCGATCTTTCCATAGGGAAGGTGCAGGGAAAAATGAGTATTTTTGCAATAACTCAGGAAGGGCTCAGCCAATCCTTCTCATCTTCGAACTCGACCGAGATGTTGTTAAGACTGAACTGTGTAGAAAATTTCATCACGATTGGACTCTCCTTTCGAAAGTTATCGAATAAACGGACGGACGGACGGCCGGACACACTGACCGATTTTAGTAGTGTACTCACTTTTTGAGTACACAAAAAAGAATTTAGAACGATATAATTTCTTACAACAAGTATCAAATGAATTCTCTACTCAAAGTTAAATTATTTAACGATTAATGGATTGAAATTGAATTGGTTATTAGAAATAAAAACAGTATGATAAAACAGCAACGATTCTAATTTCGTCTTCGTTCTAGAATAGAACATATGAATAGTACTTTCTTTCTATTTTTGAAAAAGATATTATTTTAAACGCATTAGGGGTGGGTGTGGGTGTGGGTGTGGGTGGGTGTGGGTGGGTGTGGGGTGTGGGGTGTGGCTGGGTGTGGGGCGTGGGTGTGGGTGTGGGTGTGGGGGTGTGGGTGGTGTGTGGGTATGGGTGGTGTGTGGGTGTGGGTGAGGGTGTGGGTGGGGGTGTAGGTGTGGGTGTGGGTGAATCTAAGACTCACACCTACACCCACCCATACCCCACACCCACACCCACATCCGAACAGCGGATGTAAGTATATGAATCCTCGACATGAGAATTCATATCCATACACTGACAGCTACACTCTACTGAGGCATCACGAACTTCGTCATTTTTCTGTACACATTAGCCGTTCTTGAACAAATAAAAGAGCGGATGATGAGAAGCAGTTGATTTAGAAAAAAAAGCATTTCCTAATCTAATCTAAGAAAAAAAGGACTATCGATGTGGTACAAGAAATATTTTGTAAAACATAGAAAAATGAAATTAAAATGAATTTTCTTACTCTATTCTCCTCCGTAAAAATTTTAGTAGCTATCTCTGAAGCAAGTCACAAACGGCAAACATAAGTAAACTTATTTAATGTCACTCTTCGCATAAGACGCTCGTCAAATACTAGCTCGATCTAAATCGAGAAAAACATATGAACACAAAAGTGGTTTATTTCATGTCTGTCCTAAAACTCTGGAAAATTATCATTCACATTAATAGAGCAAAACAGACTCAACTTATACGATTCATTTCAATATGATATTCGACAACTATCGGAATAATTAAATCAGAAAATAAAGACTATAATTTGTTTTCTTATTCAAACTCTATTACAAGACACGACGGAAGTAACAGAATAACTATCATGTAGGTATGGGTCCTCGTTACAGCCTCAGCCTCAGCCACACCCAAACCCAAACCCATACCTACACCCGCCCAAAACTCAATGATACAATATTTTTCAAAATAAAAAAAGTAGCCACTCTAAACTGTCTCTACTATCTGTAAAAAAAGTTTCAGCCCGGCCGAATATACTGTGCCTGAAAAATCGGGGCGATTCTGTACATTTTTGCTCAAAAATCAGGTTTTTAGAAAACCGCGAAAGAAAGACAAAAATCATGCTATCCCCCTACGGCAATAGATTTATCTTTTCAATCTTATTGTTACTTTAGAGCTATATTTGAGTTCTCAAAACGTCACTAGCAGATAGAGGGCACTTGAAAGTACATGTGCAGAAGAAAAAACAAAAAATGAAAAATTTCAAAATTTTGAGTCTGGAAAGAGGTCCTCTCAATCGTTAATCTATACTTTCGGCTGAGATTTCGTACAGTTGCTATCGATGCACTCATTGATTTAATTATCTTTCAATGAGTTTTAACAAACAAACAACTCGTAGAGCAAATTGATTTATTTAAATTATATTTTCGGCTTGTCCAAGCGTGACAGAATCACATCTTTTCCCAGAGTACATTCTGTATTTCAGCTCAATGGAAACCTATAAGACTGAATCTTTTACAGAAGACGTAAACCCAATCTCCTTATATCTACTGGGAGTTACATTGAGTTTGCTCTTGTTATTCTTGTTTTATAAGCACAATTACATGCCGTGACGAAATCACACAAAATGGAACGTCATTTTCAGTCAATTGGAGAAAAATCGAAAATTCAGTTTAATTATAGATTCCATAAAAAACAGCCTATGACAAACTTGTAGCTTAGGTCACAAGCTATATAAACAAAAAAGAAAATTCGAAAAATAATCAGATCTAACTTTACGCCGTGAAAAATATGTCGTGATGGAATCACGTTTTCTAATATCTATTTCTCGGCTATAAAAAAGATGTTGAGGCTCACTTGACATTGATATATGTCGAGAGTAAGGTTCTCATGCGTCGACTGAAAACTCGGTTTATATATACCACGATTTTTAAGTGATCGATTAGTTTTTCTGTGAAAAAGACGTCGTTGGAAGGTTACCGTTTGGTGGCCAGGCCGTTGTCTAATATATAAAAAAAAAGAGCATAAGATTAAATAATTGTATTTGATTTTACATAACGTTTTATTTCTGCAGGTAAAGGTTTCGATTCCACATATTGTTTTAATTTATCACTATTAATAACCATCACCATTGTATGTTTATCACTTAACGGTTCATCAACTGAAGCACATCGACTAAAATAACGTCGTATAAAACCTCGTTCTATTAATCAAATAAATATCTGAATCCAACCATTCAAATAATCAAGATCTCTTTTCTGTTTTTATCTAAAAAATCTTTACCTAACGAACGAATGCCTTATCAGAGAAATATTTCTGACTTTTCAATACATATTTTAAATATTCATGATAAACTTGATGAAAAGTAAATATTGTATCATTCATAATACAAATATTACTTTCTTCATCATCACTATCATCATCATCACTGTAGGTGTGTGAGAATGGGTGTGGGTGTGGGTATGGCAGAGCAGAATACCCAAACCCACACTCTTTCATCTTGGCTTTTTTATGCGAATCAATTCACAGCATCTGCAACACATTGTTGATATGTGACAACGGATAGGCATAATTTTATTATTTCGAGAAAATGTTTCGAGATTGGTGTGAATTTTATTTCAATTTCATGTTTACAATTAAGTGTTGTCTAATTACAGCATTTTAAGTAGTTGATTCCATTTTGAATAAGTTGAAAAAGTGTTTTACGAAAAACGCTACCACTGATTGTGTACAAATAAAATCCAATACAATTGGGAATATTTGCGAGCTGAATAGCAAAAGCAAAAAGAAAGCTTTCAAGTGCTCGTTGATTTGCTGATTTTGGTTGATAGAATGTATACGTCAAATAGAACTTTTGTCCTGCTAGTGGCAGAGAAAATACAGTAAGAAGAATAACTTGCACGAGTAACATCACTGTCAGACTTCTTTCATCTTTTCGAATTCGTGCACGAGTGGTGCCAGTTGTAGCAATAGATGTAGGTCCTACTTGTTGAGATCGTCGAATATTGCCAATGGTAAGCAAGCCTGCTACAAGCATCACTATTGATGGGATGATTATTGAGACGAATGCTTGAGTAAGATCATTGAAGATACGACACACATCAGACTTGGTAGAGCATTTCTGCGGAGTTCCTACCAAATTCGCATCGAAACAATAGGCAGATTCGACCCAAATTATGAATGAACCGAAAAGAACAATTATGATCCAGCGATATGTATTCTTCAGGTTACTCATTTGACGTCGATTAACATTTACAGATGAAACCAAACAGCGATCAATCATGGCAAAAGCAATGAACCACGCAGCACTAGCACGCATTGAGAGTATAACGACGATTCGCAGCTTACATAATACAGGTACCGTCTCAGTTTGATCTGGAATCATGAACATGCTTTGAAATGCGCGTGGGGTAAGGCTCGCAATAACACCAATCAAACTTGTTATATTAGCCATGAGAAAATAGATGACACACGGTTTGGAACGAAGCGTGGGTTGTACGAATACCAAACAGCTTAGTAGATTTCCGACAATAGCAAAGAACAGAAGACTGATTGACATGTACAAATTGACTTGATTAGTAGCATATTGCATTGAAGCAATATAAGATATTGTTGCGTTATTACTTGCCATTTTTCAGATGAACTCCTATTCTAGAAATCAAATTCACTATGTTATTGATTTAACGTATGAGACTGTTTTGAGCATGTGAGTGTGAGATATGGCTATAGGATATGAAACGTGGACGTGCATCTTATTTTCACTCCTCCATCCTCCTATCGACACCCGTACCCACACCTACACCTTTACTGTGTCGATATTCCACAGTTGAATTTCTTTTTTTTTTGGCTATATCTATTGCGTGACAATACATCACCAAAGAATAGAAATTCAACTGTGGAATATGGTTAGGACAAGGTTGACAAAAAAAAATCTTTGTCATCAACGCACATGAAATATATGTATAGTATTCTCAGAGAATTCTCGACGTTTGTGGCTGAAATGTCGAGGGTCAATACAATAATAAACGACGCACATGTAGTATCTGTTTTAGATTAAACAATAATACTAGTGTGAAGAAAAACTCGGAAAAATAATTTGATCTATTTATTTCGATGGAATGAATATATATACATAGTGTTTAGAACGCATTAATGTGTGAAGTCTATTTTCATCATTACATTTCTTATTTTTCTTTGTCAACCTACATTATTTTTATCGAGCAGAAGCATCTTATGGAATCCCAGCAGCGACATATATCCAGAAAATGATAAGTATGAGCACATCTCCTGAAGGAGATGCCACGTCTCTCGAAGGCAACGAGCGAGAGATGGACAACATACTAATCTCATTACAGGGAGATGGCATCTCTTACGAAGATGTTCTCACATCTTCGATTTTCTAAATATGTAATACTCCTCAAAATACCACGTTCATATCATCAGCGTGTCAAAATAATCGCCTTGAACGCTACTTTTTTGGGAAGAATTAGCAGAAAGAGAATTAGTTCGTTTTGAACAAAGAGTAATGAATCAATACAACGCCTACTTTTTGCCATTCATTCTCCTCAAAATCTCATCACAGTTGGGCAACTATAAAGAAGTTCATCAGTATTCATGAGAATGATGAAGACGGAAGAGAAGTTGTTGGTTTACGTTAATTCTATGCCCACAATGTCACGAGTGACCAATAAAGAATGGAATACTTTTATTTTATATTTTTGAAAATCAGAAATACGGTTCAAAGGCTTCATTCTGGGCTGATTCGATAGAGAATTCTTTGCTTTACAAAAACTGTTGATTTTATTTTCCAAATATGCTTTTCTTTTCAGCAAAAATTGAAAAAGACTAACATCTACTCAATTGCCCAACTGCAATTTCCATAGAGAACTTTATGCTCTATGATTTCAAGGTATGTGTGGATGTGGAATATTTGTGTAGAAGAATTAAATACCCACAGCTCACCCCACATCCACATTCATATCCCATACCCACCCAAAATTATTGCCCATAAACACTATTAACTAGGACTTAGACAAGTCCTACTATCAAAATGGACATACTATTTAGTTAGGTTTAAAAGTATGAATTATCTATAAAAACATTCTGGTTTTCGACTAAAAAATGTGATTTGGTACTTGAAATCGTTTTCTCGCCAGGTTACTGTTTCCTATAAGAAGAATTTTGTGATCTATTATTCATTGATAGATGTACAAAGAGAGATGTAAAGCATGTACTGTGATGCATACATATCTTACTGTGCTCAAAAAGCCATATTTTGTCGCGAATTCAACATTTCATTTAGTATAAAGTTTTACATTTAGTCCTAGAATACAACTAGAAGGCGAAATTAACTCTAACTTTTCTGAAAAGAAAGAAATTTCATTTGCTTATATTTTTCGATTAGTATGAACTAGATATTTTTAGTACTACGATAGAAAATATTGAATATGATACTCGATCAAAAATGCTCATAACCATTGAAGTCATATTAAAATTACGGAATCATTTAAAGCTAAACGATTGAGTAGCCGTAATTACATTTAATGATGCAGCGTTTGTGATTCAACCGATGAAGAAGTTAATCGAGCTCAATATCGAACAATCGAAGCACTTATTTGTCAATAGTTAGGGTTCATGACAGTACCGATTTGAATGCCGGTATTGATTGCAGTGCGTCATCATTTGAGACTATATCATCGCTGACAAATAATGACTATAATAATCGAATCTTACTTCTTACTGATGCACAACCAAATCAAGATAAATCATTGGTAAAATATAATAAAAAAGCATGTCAGTTTTTCTATATATTTGATTAATTTTTTTTCTATTTTAGAGTGGTTTGAATCGACAATTGAAACTTTTGCAAAACAAATCTAATAATGAAGGTTCCGATGGAGATACAAGCACAAAAGCAAGTGGAAAAAGAACTCTTCATCAATCATCCATCGTTCGATGGTTATCACTTTGTGATCTTTTGGAGAGCATAAAAAATGCATATCCATCTCTAGTTATTTTGCTTAATAATAATAAACAAAATTACCGCATACAGAAAATCAATATGGATATTGTAGAAAAATTAATTGATTTTTTTTCATCCATGGAAAGTTGTTCTTAATGAACTACAAAAAGCAAATGCTCCATCGCTCTTTCTTGTTTTTCCATGCATTACCTATCTTCGAAATGAATTATCAAATGGTGATCGTAAAGAAAGATCTGGCAAGACTAAATATGAGTTCTATTTCTGAAATATTTTTCTTGATGTCGATTCTACTAAATTATGTCTACTATGTATATTAAAAAAATCACTTGACCTCACAAAGATATTAAAAGGCTGATGATGATAATTTATTAGATTTGCAGAGATAAAAAGTTTAAATAAGTTATGTTTCACTAGTAGAAGGGTAGACTCAGTTTCGATAATGATGATTTATATTTGGCTGCTATATTTATTTTTCATATAGCCAGCTTCACTTTTTTAAATAATCCCTATAAGCTACGAACAGTAGTATCTTTCTCAGTACTATTTTAGATTTAAACTTACACAATTAAAACATATTTATTTGTAGGTATGAAATTCTTTTACAAACGAGCATTGCAGTTATTATCCAGTATGTTCAATATGGATGAAGATTATATTATTGGAGCTTTTCTACATCCTAATTATAAACAACTTAGAGGTGCAAGTAGCACCCAAATTGCTGATTGTTATACAACATCTCGTCTCTTTATCGGACCTTGTTCATCAAGTACTGAAACAAATGAGACAATCTACGAACCACAAGAAAAAACGCAAAAATATTTATGTCAATGCTAATGGATAAACAAAAGAAACAACAATCTACATCGGATGAAGTTGATCGTTATATATCTTTAGTGCTTGATGAAGATGAACAATATGAAAACCCTTTAGACTTTTGGAAGAAAAAAGAAAATCAAATAGCTTTTCCTAGTCTCTCTCGAATGGCTAGAAAATATTTTTCGATTCCATGCAGCTCATCTGCTGTAGAAAGACAATTTAGTGCGACAGGTCAAATTATTACTCAACGACGAAGCAGCCTGGATCCATCAACAGTCAATGATATTATCTTTCTTCGTTCGATCGAGAACAAATATTCTTAAATTTTTTTTTTACTTATCTAAATAGGCTTCACTATATGTACTTTTTTTTCTTGTAAAAATAAATAATTATTATTGATATATTTAGTGATCATCAAAATTATATTTTTATAGAGACGAATGAGAAAACAATTATCATCACGAGGAGAGAATATTGTTGAAAAAGCTATAGTAATTTAAAATAAATAATGTTTTTTTTACAGAATCTGAACCGAACCAAATCGAATCGAATCTAACTTTTTTCATATTTTTCGCGCTTTGATTCACACTTTGTTATGAGTGTCTGTCCTATGCATAATCAATACTTGATGAATGTATGAAAAGAAATACACAGCAAAAAAAGAATTTTTTTTTGCCATGACTTTTTATGATCAATGAAGGGTGACAAAACATGTGAAGAAAAACTTGACGAGCATCTACTCTTCCAATACACACATACAGTCACAGGAAAACAAATTTTGCCTTGTTGAAAATGAAGGGTCTCTCTCTTTGAGTATGTAAAAAAACCCATTAGATACTTCCTTCCATACACAACATACATTGCACAAACGAAAGTGATGATGTAATCATATTCCCTTCTTGATGACTATTGCAATGATGAATCTTAACTTATGTGAATATTTCTAGAGTCAACGAGTCTCTCGAACGTGTTCGTGATCTTAAATTCGTTCACATACAATTCTATTTCAAAATGCTTATTGAGTGCAACACTTTCGAAATACAATAGAATAGATGTATCTTATGGATTAAAAATACATTAAAATTTTTCTGTGTCAGTTAATTCTCTATAACACTGCTTTAGCTGGTAGAAAACTTCTACGTAAGATAGAGAAAACTGACATAATAGACTTCTTTAACATTTGAATGAGGAGAATAGATGGAATTATACACACGAATTTGTTTAATCTTATTAATGGC